GGAAAGTGTGTAGAACAGCGATAGCGCTGTATTGCCTGTAGTTCTGAACTGTGTGAATGTCTATTAGTCTATTAGTTACTCCTACGCATGACAATAAAATATTCAATTACTGGCTAAGCAGAACACGACGCGTAGTTGATTGTCCTTTCAGACTAAAAGATTTGCTGTCCTTCAAACGGCCATGTAAGTAATTTCAGGAAAAGGCTGAACCGTTTATTAGAAGTATTCTCGTTTTGCATAATTTCACAATAAAAGAAAACACAAATAGAGAGAACGCTCTTTTACAGCGACCAGTAGAAGCAGTAACTGAAGATCATAGTAATCCTGCAGTTAATGTGGCAATTAGGCCAAACACTCGGTCTCTTGATGTTAGGTCTTTTCTGACGACTTCGTTTCCCCTGTGGGGGAACTTCAGCGGCAGAATAATCACATCCAGTAGACCCCTTCCGCATAATCACTGCAATTCTACTGTAATATCCTATCAATAAATTTGCAATATTCCACTGTAATATTCCACTGCAAGTAATATTTAAAAATACCGACTAATTTCACACCCCATCTCCTTCGTGATGTCTTCCCACGCCTTCTAGACAATTTCTACTATGCTTTTTATCCTTTGCATTATACAGGAATGCTTTCTCCACCACTGACTCATGAAACTCACGAGTCGAAACAGCAAATACTCCCTGTTCTGCTGCTCGCCTTGATTGGCAAGGAATGGAGCACGAACCTACATACCCTACACAGAACAAGATAACACTTATCGTCTTCCCGTGACTTATGCTATTGGATTATTGCATTTATTTGCACAAATTGCACATGAACCCACGGGTGTGGCTGAGTTGGTGCGACGGATGCGAAAGCCAGGCATCTGCCTCTCCCCCGGATTTTCGGCAAAATATTTTTTGGGGAAAAAATAGTGTTATATTTTAGCGTCCTGTTGCACTGATTTATGTCCATGATTTATTCTGACCGTCTTACAGTGCATACATTTATTCACCTTACTCTTCTCTCTTGCACTACATGTTTCGGCACTAATGTGCCATCTTCAGGTGCTTTTTGATGTACGTCGAACTACTGCATTGCATGCCCTGTTGTCTTTATACTAAAATTTATATTCGTCATATATATTGCTAAATTTTAAATATTAAAACTGTTCAGGATTTGTCATCCTTATGTCATATTTCAGTATGCGAGTCACACCTGAAATACGACACAAGGATGACAAATCCTGAACAGTTTTAATATTTTTAATATTTAAAATTTATCAATATATATGACGAGTATATATTTTAGTATAAAGACAACAGGGCATGCAATGCAGTAGTTCGACGTACATCAAAAAGCACCTGAAGATGGCACATTAGTGCCGAAACATGTAGTGCAAGAGAGAAGAGTAAGGTGAATAAATGTATGCACTGTAAGACGGTCAGAATAAATCAGGGAAAAAATAGAATGAAAAATGTACGAAATATTATTATAAAAAATTACAAATCCTTTTTTCTATTTTTTATCCTGAATACTCTAGGGTGATCAGAAAAGAAGCATTAAACAACTTAAACGCAAGGTAATTGTGGTCCCTCCTCCTTGAAAATTGGATGTAATTCCTTGGAAGATAGCATCCTGATGTTGTCCATATATGATCTTCGCATTAGTAACCATGAAGTTGTAACAAATATACCCAGTCGTAGTTCTCCAAATAAACGTAGGTGGGACTGGTTAACTTCACATTTCGTTTGTACTGACTCACGAATTCAGTGACAGGTTTGGCAACAAATAAATAACCACCGCATTATGAGCACGAGAATGGACGCCAACCTGTGTGAGGGGAGCGGTCGTCAGGCATTTACACCATCTCAATTTCTGGAAAATAATAAAAAATTTCAAACGAATTAAATGTGACAAGTATTATTACCAGAAATTAAAAGTACTTAGATAGAATCGTTCTTTTACTGTAAATATTCTAGGACAGTCATTAAAAACAAGTCTTAAGCAGAAGTTTGTAAGCCAATTTTCTGCCTGCCCCACCTTGGAAAAAAAAATTCTGGCGGCGACCATGACTGCCACTACAATAGGCATTATGAGGCAGTCGACCTTTTTTAAACATGCAGATCTTTGGTTACTGATCAAAGACACAAGGCTGCAAGAAACATCTGTGCGTCTGACCTTCTCCTATCCCCCAAAACATTTCGGTATATTATTCATCTGGCAATAATAACATGTAACTTACCATCTAAATGGCATTTGCATGAACAATAATAATAATTATTGATAATGTGCAATCGGTCATGGTCACCAAGGCGAAATTTTAACTGCACCACGCAGTCTGTAAACAACACGTTTGAATCATGACGCAAACAGTGCTGCCATGGTGGGTACCACGCATATCTCGAAACAAATGAGGGCACACCGCTGCACCCAAGCGGAAGATTGACATGTATGTGGTAAGCATGGATCGCAATATGTTGTAGATGTGCCTAACTGAAGGCCAAAAATTGAACGTACTTGCACATAATGTCACCTTCAAGCCGACATCCCCGCTTTACCAACTTGTATTATCTCACCAATTCTGAGAAATCCATTCCTATTCATGATAAGTTAGAAATACAAATTCTGATGCATACTCAAATGTATTTAATATATCAAATGGCCATTATTCCACTAACGTGTTTCATAACTGCTTAATAACACAGTAATAGTGGGGTTATCAGTACCCACTAACTCCATGCAGATGACCCCTTCATGAGGAGCTGCCAGTTGTGTAGCTATCAAGAAATTCCCAACAATTTATGGAACCCAAAGTTTCATTACTGTGTTGACAAGAGCCCTCCACTGGTCCTGATTACCCACACATTCAAACATTTTATGTTGAATTTGCTGTCCTCACAATAGTAACTATGAAAAGTATGACTGACTGGAATGTTATGAAATATATTCCAGCATAAGTCCACAGATATTTTGGAAGAACGCACTGCTTCCATCTCCAGGGTTGAGCTGGCCAAGCAAGCAACCAGAAAAAAAAACAGGCAGCAAGCAGACCGTGAAGATTGAGGCAGTACATTCCTCCAAAACCTTTGTGGACTACTGGACCCCACCCTGTTACATTCCAGAAGACAGCACTGTTCTCATATTTCTGTTTGAATAAGAAAGAATTGTGACAACAGCAGAAGAAGCCTATTGCTGTATCTGTTTACAAAAAGAATGATAAATCTGACAACTGTAATCAATTACACAAAACATTCTGTCTAACATTCATATCTTAAGGTTAACTCCACATACAGACAAAAATATTGATCATCTGTTTGGATTTCGACCTGACAGATCAACAGATGATGAGATATGTTGCATTCTCAGATAGTAAGAGCAAATGGAAGTACAATGAGAGAGTATATCAATAATTTATAGACTTCAAGACAAAAACAATAATCATAAGGGTATGACTGTATTCAGAACAGCACACTGCACCTTATTGTACTTGCATGTTTGTGCCTCTCAAAGGTTTAAATGAAGTTTCAACTAAAACGGCGAAGATTTAACATCTTCTGGACACACAGTAACAACCACAAGAACTATTGATGGTAATAATGAAGCAGAAGTTAAATTGATGAATCACTATTTTAGTTTCAAGGAGCCTACTCAAAAGAGGGCACAAGCCATGATAGCGCAGTTGATACACGACTGGCTACAGGCTGGATGGTCTAAAGGTTGTATTTCAAGTCCCAATAGACTCAAGATTTTTCTCCTCTCCACCTCTCCATGTTGTCCAGATTGGTTTTGGGGCCTACCCAGCCTCATGTGCAATGAGTACTGGAGACTCTTTCCCTGGGGGTAGAGCAGCTGAGGCGTGAAGCTGGCCACTCACCTCCAACTAGTGCTGAGGTCAAGAATATGTAGATCTGACAATCCACTCCCCTATACATCTTCACAGTGTAGACCTTAATTAGTTCAGCAGAGGGACAATTCTACCTATGCTTGAAAGAGGGAATGAACCAGTGATCTGGTTTTAACACAAATTTTTCTATGCATTTACTATTATTGTGACTGCAAATGGGTTTTTACCAGGTGGCAGTGGTAAAACAATAAGCCACAACACACAAAATAACCCACCATGCTCGAACCAAGCAGAGCATGCAAAACTACACGACAGTAAGGGTCACATAGTACACACANTTTTGTGTGTTGGTGATTTCTTTTTCTACTATAAATGCCTCTGATGATGGCTCCGTGGTGAGCCGAAACATGTAAGGCAGGTGGTGACGAGGTGGAAAACTTAAAAAAGTGTCACATTTGACGGAAGGAACTTGATTGTTAATTGGTTAGTGTGACGGACCAGAATGAAAGACCTTAAACTTAAAAATATATATTATTTCTTTATTTTTTTTTTACAACTGGTGCTATAGCCCCCCTTGGGCCCTGGCCTCTGATTTTCTATTTCATGATAATTTTACAGACAGTAGGACTCCTTGGACGAGTGATCAGCTCATCACAAGGCCTCTACCTAAACACAGGACAACATAAACACAGAATAAACACATACAAATACCAAACATCCATGTCTTATATGGGATTTGAACCGACGATCCTGACTTCCAAGCGAGCTAAGACAGTACATGCCACTTGGCTACTGACAATACCAATATAAATACCATTAATTAACCCAAGATAGTTAAGATATTAATAATAATAAAAAAAGAAAATTACATGCTCTACACTAATGTAATGGGGTACGCGGTAGCATAGTTGGTTGAGGCACTATGCTACAAGCCCGAAGGTCGGAGGTTCAAGTCCCGATAAGATCACTGGATTTTTTCAGTTGACCTAATCCTTCCAGCCGCACTCTGACCATGGGGTCGACTCAGCCTCTAACAGAAATGATTACCAGGAATATTCTTGGGGGTAAAGGGCGGCTGGCGTGTAGGGCTGACAACCTTGATGCCATCTATGAGCCAATTGTCTAGAAAATGTGGGAACCTCAACATCTCACAATCCTATGGGCCCTCTATGGCCTGTTACAGGGATAGCTTTACTTACTTTACTTTTATACTAATGCAATACCATTCTGTACCTTCATGGACATGCATTGACATTTCCCCTTCCCCACACCTTCACATCACCTCATTTATCACTTTCCTAACCCTTTTTCTAAAACTTCTGGATAGCAACCATACTTTCTGAGAGATGAAACAGCTCAAGTAGTACAGAAAAAGACTACACGTTGGACAACCAGCTCTATGACCCACCCAGCCCCCTAACCAATGGATAATGGGTACTCTTCTCCCATTTGCAACATGATTGGGGTGTGAAGTGGACCACTCAGCTTCATCTGGTGCTGAGGCAAAGTACCTATATGTGGAGCTATAATTATACTCCCCCATACCTCTTCACAGCATGGTACTTAATAAAGAATAAAGACAACTTTACTTTTACTTTTCAACCACTGCCAAAAAGTAGTACTTGTATGTACTTTTCAGCAGTAATGGATCCAGCATTTATAAAAAACTACAAGCTATTGGTATCCAGACTTTTGGGTATGATACTCGAAATCACATATTGAAAAGAAAACACTATTTCCTATATATTTATTTAAACAGAAAAATGCATAGCATTTAAACATTTTTAAGTCTGGTATTATCAGAGAAGTTTCCATTTGACTGAAAGCTGTATAGATTAATATTTTACATGGCTAACCAAAGGACTGCATTTATTTGATTCAGGTTGGGAATCAAGAGTTGGCCTTGTGAACATAATAATACATCTTCAGGTTACATAAAAGGCAAGGAATTTCTTGCATACCTGAGAGAATACAGTATTATGTTCTCCAGCACTCTGCTCAATAGAACTAGTGAATCAAAGGATGTGAGAAGGTTCATATACATTACAAAGACTGGTCTCTCCTATTACCTGCATCTTTCGACAGTCACAGTACTATGTTTATATACCCTATAACTCTACTTTTCATAATTTATTTCCTTGCTATAAATAAATAATCTGGTAATACTCAGTAAAAAAACTACAATGACTCAGTCTAGGTAGACGCTGAGTTTGATAATGATGGCATCATCACGAATGTAGTGCCTGGAGCGAATCACACTATGTGCGAAGCCAAGGCCCACACATTCATAGTTGTCACCAGATGTTGGTTTCTGCCAGTTGAAGCCACTACAGAGCACGGTTGGGTCCCACACACGAGAACTAATATCCTCCTGTCCATCCTCAGATGAAACCTGATCAAGAACATTGACACGATGCTTCAGCTTGAATGGCCAGGGCAAGCTATCATCAAAATCACCTCGTGTCACACCAACATGGATGTACACATTCTCTTCATTCTGGCGTGGGTAGACACGAATGTACATTCGATAACCACCTGGAGAGATGTAGAAGGAGGAACTGCGGAGAGACCGACGATGGTTCCAGCTTGTCAACTTGTATTCCATGCCTTGGATGCGCCAGTAGTAGGTGAAGACGCTGCTTCTTGCACTGTACACACAGCATTTACATACAGTAACATAAGAGAAAGTGGGATACCTGTCTTTTGCACCAGCAGCAAAGCTACTAAAACAAATTATCTTTCCATCCCATCACTTGATATGTCTTATATCAACTAACATAGCACACTTCACTACTAGTCTGGTAATCATACAAGTTTCTCTAAAACTGATGCCATAGAAATAAATGAGAAATGAAATATACCAAGAGTATGGTCCTCTGTAAGGTGACATAGTGCAGTTTCATAGATGCATACTGATGTTTCGGAGGAACATGCTGCCTCCATCTTCAGACAGGCTTCTTCTTATACCCCAAAGATGAAGGAAGCAAGTTCCTGCAAACATTGAAACCCATCTACCAACTTACATGAAGTTAGTCTTAACTCACTTTGCTCTTTAGTTAAAATACATTTTCCCCACATGAAGTAACAGACAGTTAATTAACAGTAGCAGATTACCCAAGCTTATAAAGACAGCCTATTTAACTTATAATGTTGCACATATCTTACTGTATAGAACAAATATTAAACGGCATATTACACATCCACAGAGCAATATGTAAATAAACTGAAATTAAAATGAACAGTTTTTATGCCATTTTTATGCATGGATGATCGTAATTGAGCGTTCCTATGTCGATGGCCAAGTATAACAAAGTCTCACCTGCTGTAAGGCTGTCCAGGAAATGGTTCTGCATGGATGGAACTGTTGTAACGATTCACTTCCACATCACGAGGACTCTCTGAAATCTCATCTGAAGATTCCTCATCCTCCCAGGTTGCCCCTGCATCCTCCTCTTGTTCAAAAGTTGTCGAACTGGTCCTACTGCACAGACAGTACAGAAAACCTTGATCTAAATAACAGCATGATGAAGTGTAATGAAAGAATGAGGAATTTCCAATGGACTCCTCCAAACCATGAACACAAATAATATTAATCTTTTGGCTGCACCATTTAATTCAGTTTATCCTGTCATTAATTACATTAGTTAATCTAAGTGCCCTACATTTAAATGTGTTAATTGTGGCAGGGAAAATTAAATTTTAATAAAATCTTCAATGTTAGGAAGGAAATGGTCCAACAAGGTAAGTTCTTGATGTTCTGAATGTGTTAAATATAGGATAGACTAAAGAAATTCTCCCAGAAACAGATTTTGTTACTACAACTATACAACCTGTATATATAGAGTATATACTGAAACTTCTTTGTTATGTATTTCAGCAAATGAATTACCATCTGAAGGGTTATGCAGTGATATATTATTGCAAACATGGTTCTAAATACAAGTTACAACCCATCCATCTTATAGTTTTATAGCTTAAGTCAGACCTTGACCTCTACTACTCTTCACCTCCAATCTTCTCTCTTCATAGTGGCTAGCTCCTGGTAAAGCTGAATTCTGATAAATATAGCAGTGTCAAGCCATACACCATTTTCCCACCTTTTTCTGGGTTCCTCTATGGGTCTAATTCCTAGAAACTGCACTCTGCAGTGTTTTCTTTGGTATGCAACATACTTTATGTACAATGAGAGACAAGAATCTTCATCTAATTCACATAATTCTTTATTATGTCTTCTTCTCCACTGACCATCAAATTTAACTGGTCCAAAAATTCTCTTTAAAAATTTTCCCCTCAAACAAATTCAGGGCATTCTCTGCCTTCTGGGGCAAAGTTCAGTTTTCACGTCCATACCAGAAAGTACAATTTTGTTTATAAGTATATAATAGTTTTATTATTTTAACACAAACCCAATGAGTTAAATTGAAGGATCAATTATAGCCTTGGAACAGGTCACGGGTCTTAGTTAGCAGGCAGAAGAAGACATCCTTTTGTATACAGTGTCCAGACACTCTGGGGCCTACCCAGCCATTTGTCCAATGGGTACTGAGGACTCTTTCCCAAGGAGTAAGGCAGGCTGCGCCATAGCTCAAGCAGTTAGTTGCTGGCTTCTCACCACGGCGGCCCAGGTCCGATCCAGGGTCTGGTAAAGTGGGATTTGTGGTGGACAAAGTGGCGCTGGGGCAGGTTTTCTCAGAGTACTTCGGTTTCCCTTGCCAATCCTCATTCCACAAATTGCTCCACAATCACCCTCACCTATCATCTGGGGCTGGTACAATAGGCCAGAAGTGGCCGCAGTACAAGGGACTTAGTCCCACCCCACTAGCAAGGGGTAAAGCAGGTGGGGCGTGAAGCTCACTGTTCACATGTATCTAGTGCCAAGGGTAAAAATATGTGCAGCTATACCTCTTCTCCACCCATACACATTCATGGCATGGTGTTTAGTTTGTGATATATAAGTACCGTATTTACGCATGTATAGGCCGCGTGCGTGTATAGGCCGCAGCACAATTTTCAGACAGAAATTATAGAAAAAATAATTTTCTTGGAATATTATTTCAGGAGTATTACACCCTGTATTACTAATTATGAATATATATTTTTTTAAATGAAGTGTGATTTCGAATATAAGCCGCACCCCAGTTTTCCTCTTGAATTTTTGGCAAAAAATGTGCGGCCTATACATGCGTAAATATGGTATTACAAGAAAATGCCCAATTAAGTTTATATACAGTATGTTGTACATATATTTTGTGTAGGCCACTTGAATATGGCAGAAATAAGTGCCAGAACATGCATAGGATACATTTAGGTCAATACACGAACAAGTAGTAAGTAACTGATAAGATGGGTCATTAATTTTTTAACTGAATCATACAAACAGTGCAGACTTATGGATTAAACATTTCACCCTTTGAAACTGTGTCTCAGTATTCAGGATTGAGTAATATGTTGACTGCCATTTTTCCTTGACCTGATTACGAAAGTTAAGTAGGTTTAAAATTATCCCACTCTGACGCAACTTCAGTAAATGGATGAATGAAAGCCTGATTTTAATTATAGTGCTTAACTCTATGGATCAAAGCCCTCCTTGAGAAACTAACAGTTGCTCATTTAGTTCGAAAATTCTGTCTTTTATGGAACTCAAATGTTCACTATGTCATTCCAAAGAATCTTCTCAAGTATGAGGGCCTGTGTAACATTTAGTAACACACTGCTTCTTATGGGAAGCACTTGTTAGCCTTGTCCAACCTCCAAGCTGTATGAATATCTCCTGTCTGCCATGTGCAACTATTTGTATGTTACATTCACAGCCATTTTCCATATTTAGGGACTGTCTTCTAACCCTCAGTGTCAGTGCCTAGGCCATTACAATTGAAGCTGCTGATTATAACCAAATATGTTAATAACATGACACAGAAGGTAAAGTTGAATGTCTGGATAATAACTTCTGAGCAACAGATATGGTGGGGGAGGGGGGAGGGAGTAGGTAAATTGTGAGACACTGTATGGATGGCTGCACTAGATTACTGTTACATGAACTTCTCATCCATCCCCATATCTTAACCCTAAGAATGAATTTAGTTAAGTCCCTTTCTTTCTTTCTTTCTTTTTCCTTTGCATGGCAATATTTTTCGCTCCTTCACAGCATCCAGATTGACTGTGGGGCCCACCCAGCCTCCCATCCAATAGGTACTGGGGTCAGTTTCCTCAAGGGTAAAGCAGCCTGGGCATGAAGCTGACCACTCACCTCTAAATAGTGCCAAGGTCAAGAATGGTGGAGCTATACATCCACTCCCCCATGTGTCTTTTTGGTATAGTGCTTAATTAATTAAACACATGGACAACTCTACTTTACCTTACCTTTCTTTCTTTATGAACAAAGTCCTTAACAAACTTATATCTGAAAATTGCTGTCTTCTGCGTTGTGGCACTGTACAGCTTGGTAGAACATTGCCAACATTTTGGAGTAACTCACTTTCTATGGCTTCTGGGTAGAAAAATAAGCTAAGCATAGAAAAAAGTGGGACTGATACAAGGACCTTGAGTTCAGACCTTTCATCTTCATAGTCACTGCTGTGAAAACTCCAGATCTCCCTTACCCATTTCTGTTGGATTCTTGGATTAAGGAAGCTGGGTGACAATGTCTGAAAATGGTTCCCATGATGCGTTTCTGCGCACGCCGAGATGCCACATCTTGCTCCATGACCTTGTCTTCTATATTCAGCAGCATTGTCTTGATAACATTCAACTGGTCTGTCAGCTGCATTTCCAGGTTGTGGAACCGATCCTCCATCTCCCCTGACAATCACACAACACCTCTCTTGATCATGAAGCACAACTAGGAGCTAATACAAAAACTTTCCTTCAAATGTTTCTCTATAACGTGAGGTTAGAAAACCCAATAAACTAATAATTATACAATTCAGTCACTACAGTTTCTGTGCATATATCAACTTAAATTCCCACTGTGTTAAATCTGATATTTAGATTACATGTTAATTACATTCTGAAAATTTTCTTTGAAACTTCTATATATGTAGTTTTCAGATCTAAATACAGTGAAATCCAAATTAGTGTTCCTACTTTAAGCTATATTCTGTGTTTAGTGAACAATTTTTCTGGTTCTGATTGGAGCCAAATGCAGGCAATGTATTAATATATTTCCCTATATTTGGTGAAATCTAATTTTCTAAACATACCACATTAAAAATAAATTCAACCTTTTAGGAGATGATATATCTTGAGATTGTAATAAAAAAAGTGATATTCATATTTTCTCACTGCCAGAAATCATTACCAGATAATGTAATATTATTGTTTATGTAATCTTATTTATGTGTGTTGCAAGTTCTTTTAACCACTTATGTAAAGAAATTATTTCATTATAATTATATATAATAAGTCTTACAAAAAAAATAGTTTCTTGATGCAATCATGTATAACCCCAACTCACTGATNAAAAAAGTGATATTCATATTTTCTCACTGCCAGAAATCATTACCAGATAATGTAATATTATTGTTTATGTAATCTTATTTATGTGTGTTGCAAGTTCTTTTAACCACTTATGTAAAGAAATTATTTCATTATAATTATATATAATAAGTCTTACAAAAAAAATAGTTTCTTGATGCAATCATGTATAACCCCAACTCACTGATGATCTCAATTTAATGTAAGAAAAGTCATTCCCCTCCAAAATGCATAACATTGCAGCATGGTTCTTCTTGTCATTAATTTCCATGCTTCCTTAAAGAATTTCCAGTCTTTCAGTATACACAGTAAATAAAAACAGAACTTTATCTGAAGATGTAGGGTACAAGTGACAAGATCTTGCCTTTAGTAGAACTCTCAAAAACCAGAGATTACAGCAATATTAAAAAGCAACTTACTGGTATTACAAAGCCCTTTCAGGACCCTGGTAACAGTTGCTTGTGCTGTGGCCACAAGTTCCTCTGTGGTGATCCTACAGGTTGCATGCTGTGTTTCCAGTACCTCTTGGCCATTGTCTTCTATCAACTGTTCGGTCCTCTCTTCCTTCTTAGTCCTTGAAGCATTCTGTACACTTTCACTTCCAGCTGAATGTTTATCTGCAGTCACAAAGGCAGAATTATGCCTCAATTTATTTTCTCTCAGGTTCACCCCAGAAGTTTTATCACTTTGGGGTTTAAGTGCTGTGCTATTTAAACCAGACCGCAATTGGGGTTTAAGTACTTCACCACCATTAGCTGTAAAACCCCAGCAAATTGTAGAATCAATGGTCAATAACAGAAGGAAGAGAACAAACATATCTGCATGAAACATCTTCATTATGTGGCTGGGATGTGAAGGAACATCGCGTTTTGCTGCAACACTTCAGGAATTAAAATACTTAGGGGAGGGGAAGTTGGGTGCTGGTAGGAGGTTAATGGATGGGAATTCAGAGTTCAAATGAGATTAGAGGAGAAAGAAATGTCTAAAAATACACAATTCTGGCATGCTGACAAGTAAAGTGAAGACTCCAGCTACTGAACCTGTATGAATAACTGGAAGAGAACATTATGTAGTCCCATTAATTATTAAGTAATGGGTGAATAAAGTATGTAACGCAGAAGCCTTAGTTATATGTATTTTATAAACCTCAAGACTCTTCACTACATTCTCAAAACTGACCATTAGATTACTCTCAATTACATCAATCCAGTTCATATCCTCTCACTGCATTTCTTTAAGATCCCTTTTAGTACCATGATAGTGCTGTCAGTATAGAGACTGGCTACTGGCTGCATGGCTGAGGGCTCAGATTTTGAGTCCCGGTAGGGTCATGAATTTTCTCTTCTCCAAATTGCCCAGACCTGCTCTGAAGCCCACCCAGCCTCCTATCTAACAGGTCCCTGGTGGTAAAGCAGCCAGGGTGTGAAGCTGAACACTCACCTCCAACCAGTGCAGATGTCAAGAAAACCTGGGTCTATACATCCACTCCCCCATACATCTTCATGGCACAGCGCTCAATTAGTTAAGCACTGGGACATCACCTTTGCCACCCACATGTATTTAGAAAACTTCATAATTATTTAAAATCAAACAAACAAATATAAAAGACAACAGGTAGGACTTACCAGCATATATACATCAGTGGAAATACAGATGTCTCGTTATCACATGGCATACTTTATGGCATGGTTTCTGGACATCAAAGTGTCTATTTATGCGGCCTACTATGTATTTCAAGGTGCATCAGAATTCAAATACAACTGTTCATTTCAGGTAAACATTTTATTATTCTGTAGGTATATTCATCAAGTGGTTGAATTATACAAGAGAGAGTTACAGAGGAAGAACACATTTTTACGTATCAGATGAGAACTGTTAACTGGTAGCACATTCTCTAGAAACTTTATGTGAAGAAGTTATTACCCAAAGTTGATACATGTACCTTGTACTCTGGGACTATAGCAGAAGCATAACTGCAACACTTCAGAAGTGATCTAATTAACCATTTACCTTATTTCTGTTCAAATTATATCATCAAGTTCCACATTACTAATTTTGTATTCTCATTAAATTCATTTAATATTTTAAGGATGAAAGTCTATCACATCAATATCGAGGTGATTTCTCAAGCAGCTGAACATCCAATATGTTGACAGTACCAATGCCTTTTATTGAATAGCTATTCTGGCATCATGTTGAGTGATTAACCCAAACAAAGCATGACATTGTATTCTACAAGATTTCAGCAGTATCTTTGTACAAACAGTGCATGCATAAAATTTATTTTCCTTTGTAAAACATATGTTCTAATCACTTGTAATAGTTTACTGATACTGGGAAGCCATTCAGCAGAAATGTTTCTCTTTAATTTCTTGGTGTCTAAGACACTTCTTAGACCCGATAACATATGTGAATGAAAAAAATGTGAGGAAATATACAGTAACAGTAAAAAAAAATGTTAATCTAGCACAAAGAAATGGCTGAAATTCAACTCAAAAATACATAATGCTTCGATATATGAGGCGTTTGTTACTCTATTTTATGATTTTTGTTTGTTTTTTTTTTTTTGCTAGTAGGGCAGGAATAAGTCCCTTGTACTGCGGCCACTTCTGGCCTATTGTACCAGCCCCAGATGATAGGTGAGGGTGATTGTGGAGTAATTGGTGGAATGAAGATGGGCAGGGGAACTGAAGTACTCGGAGAAAACCTGCCCAGTGCTAATTTGTCCATCACAAATCCAACTTGACCAGACCTGGGATCGAACCCAGGTCGCCGCAATGATTTTTGTTTTACTGAGATTCTTAATAATGTAATGTAATGTATGTAAGGGGTAGGCCATAAAAACGAGCCCCCACACTGCAACCTTCAATGATCCATCCTGCTTCCCCTTGGATTAGCCCTTATGGGGGAAGATTCTTAATAAATACCAGATTCCTTTTTTTCTGGTATGGCACCAACAGAATTTTTAACCAACACTTGAAATTCTGTCCAACTGCTAAATGAGGGTATAAAAGCCCAT